TTCAGCGGTTGTGTCGGGAAGGTGAGCATCATAGAATGCCAATTTACTAGAAGAAAGTATTCTTGTGTTGAGGGAGTACTTGAGTGGAGGCCCAAAGGACATGGTTTTTCTTTGTTCCTGACAACCAATGTATCTTTAAGGTACATAGCTACTCTGGGGCAGAAACTGGCTAAAAATGCTTTCTGTGCTTGTAATCACTAATCAATACAGAGTAGGTGTATACAAGATACTGTTGGATGGATTTGCACCAAATTCTCTTAGTTCTTAGCTGCATTGAGGTCAATAGAGAAAAGCCAGACGTTTGATAATTTTGTCAATTGAGACTTTCATTGTTGCTCTATCACTGGTTTGAAATATTGGGAATACCCAGAATATCAGGTATAAGTATAAGCACATTCTTAAATGAAATATAATTTGCTTTCTGATTATTGCCATTTGGAATAATGCATGCTGTCCTTTTCCTCCTTTGGATAGACACAATTATAGTGATGGTAAATGGCATTGTTAATTTAATAATACATATCAATGACACATCCTCAAGACCAATTTCTAGACTTCCAAAAAATAAACAAAACACACACATACACAACTATTATGACTACATGCACAACTATTATGATGTAAGCTGTAACTTTAAACATATTTGTTAATATGTTCTAATTGTCATAAAATGTTTTCTTTCAACTCATTAGATTTAACACCTAAATCCCTGATTTATCTAATGATGTTGGGTCATGAAGGAACTCTGTTGGTGTGGTGGTTAAGCTACCACTCAAAAGGTGTATGGTTTGAACCCACCAGCTCCTCCATGGGAGAAACTTGTGGCAATAACGTGTCAATCTGCTTTTGCAAAGATTTCCAGCCTTGGAACCCTTAGAGAGTAGTTCTACTTTATCCTAGCATTACCCTAGAATCAACTCAATGGCAATGGATTTGGGCTTTTTGGTTATTGGGTAATAAGTTTGTGACAATAAATTTTGCTCTGTCTTTAAAACAAAACTAAACTTTTGTGTGATTTGCATGAACATTTAGATAACAAATTGGCTTTCCTAACGTTTACTTTTAAATCATGGGAGCACTTCGATTTTGCCCCTTACAGATGTAAGCTGTATGGACTGTTTTGTTGAGTGAATGAGCTGGCATTTCATCTTCCTTGTTGACCACATCAGAATCATCGCATTAAGTTATAGGAACTATTTTCAGACTTCTTTTTTCACTAGGGTATTTTCTTCCTCCTCATTTCACTTCATTTAATTAGGATAAAATTTATCCCAGGATTTGCTTTCGGTGTGGGATTATGGAGAGAGGAGAGTGAAGGAAGATGAAGAGGGCATATATAACACTGGATGTCTCATCTCTTCTCGGGATAACCGGCTCACTGTTTACCCTCATGAACACCAGCTTCATTTGACCACCTTCAGAGAACATTCAAACGTGTTTAAGGATATTTTCTCTGCATTAAATTATCCCAGACTACTGTGCCCTTCTCCTTGGTCT